CTCCCCATCAGCATCATTGGGAGTTATCTCCCAAACCATTCGAGGGTTCTGCTTGTCATGCACTGGCATAGCGTCATTCCCCTCATTACGGGTGTCACTGATTGAATCCTCGAAATGAGGCTGATCCCCTCGAATTCCAGGGTTATGTGTGTTGTTAACAGTGTTATCTGCCATTTTTGTGATATTTTTTCTAAGATAAAATAATCAAATCACGTTAGTAAAAAAGGCAAGGATCAATTCAATTGTACGGCTGTCTAGGCCCCACGGTGCGCGCCAAACTATTTACCCGTAAAATGGTACAGTTGAATTTATACGTGATTTCTAGACAAGTGAACTAATTTGATCCTGAAATAATACAATAATTGAAGAAATGTATAATACTTAGCCTTAAAATGTAGACGAAATAGCAGAAATGACAGTTTCAGGAACAAGATTTCCGGGCACAGCAATGATGAGATCAAAAAGCGAAAAAGTAAGATTATATTAAGCTTTGTATAGAATGTAGTGTAAGTTTAGCCAGAAAATTCGTGTCATTTACAATGATAACTAGGCTCACTATTTATAGTTATGTCTAGGGAAGGAGGTCCTAGGATCTTGCCCTCCTTTAATGTCAATTATGAGGGTCATTGATGAAGATGTAACAGTGAACATAAATGCCAAATTTTCTGTAACGAGCCATCGCTCTTAATGCTCCAGAATATTCCTTATTAAATGCTACCGGGCGCAGAGTATTTAATACACTTTTATGAACGGTATCCCTTCTGGTGACAAGCGGAATGGCTGTATTCGGTCTTCGACCATCCCCGTCTTGGGTTCCACGTATCTTTCCTTTTGATGTCATATCATATTTCACCCTATACAGGAGGTAGAAAGACTGTTTCGGATAGACCTTCAGTTCAAGATAAGTATTTGAAAAATATAAGAGTAAAAAAACTAAGAAAATACCAAAGAAAAATAAAAGGTGGAGGTAGAAAGATTGTTTCAGATAGACCCCGAGCTCAAGATAAGCGTTTGAAAAATACAAGAGTAAAAACAATTAAGACAAAAATATTGAAGAAAAAAATTAATAACAGTAAAATAATAACATGTTCATGATTAAAAAAAAAACAATAGTGATAACATATGTGCATTGTTATTAGAATTACAAAAAAGTTGGGGGTTCTTTTCAAACTCTATAAAATTCAATTAGCTGAGTTAGCATACCTACTTGATTTTTCAATCAAATTTAATGGGTTCTTTGAACATATTTATTAAGTAATCAATTATAGGTTCAGTGGTTTTAAAGTGATAAATTTTTCAGTGTATTAACTTTATACAAAAGGTTTAAGCGAAATGATTATTTAAAAACATTAACTCACATATCTCAATAAAGTTCAAAGGTAAAATTCGCAAATGGACATACAATTATAGAATTTTTGCATCAAAGTCAACAATCTTATTTTCTCACTTTATAGTCACAATACCATTAAGCAAATGATCACAACAGCCAGAAAATTACATTCTGTGGTTTTTTTTTTTTTCCACCTTTTTCAAATAAATGGCCATCGGAAAAAATAAACAAATGGAGATTCATCACACCAATAAGCTCTTGGCTACATTATCATTTTTTAAAAATTACTTCTTTTATATACTTCATTAGGATAGATTTTAGAATTAAGAATATTGTTTTCCACCATTATTGGTATATATAAGTTACATACAAAGCAAAACAATAACAATAACCTCTAGATTTTTCTTTCTTCCAAGAGAAGAGGTAAATTTAAGTCCTACAATAAATTAAACTGAAGGTTATTTTTTTCAAAGGATATTTTTCTAAAAAAAGGTAAAACGGTGAAAAAATAAAAAGTTCACAAAAAGTTATTATTTTCGGCTATTGTGATCATTTGGTTATCAACATGATAGTAGTATGACTTTTAAGTGACAAAACAAAGTTGTGTAACTTTAATGCAAAAAGTTTTTATAGTTGTGACCATTTGTGTAATTTAGTCCTATTTAAGGGGCTTTCATGTTAATAAAATAGAAAAAACTATATTAATATATATATTTTTTGTATATTAATATATAATATACATGTTTTATACATAATCAATATATATTTATTGTATATTTAACTAGCGCATGTAATTATTTTTAGTCAATTAGCCAAACGTGTAGCTTGCCCAATAAAATGTGCAGTGAACCTTAAGGGGTCGTTTGGTTGGAAAACAAGTTATTCCAAGGTTAGTTATCCTGAGATTAGTTATCCCGGGATTGTTATCACACTCTTTAAAAGTAACATTACAATCCGGACACCGTAATTTTATCTCAACCAAACATGAGATAAACTCATATCAAATTTAATCCCGAAATTAATTATCACATTTCCTCGTACCAAACGAGCCCTAAAGAGACGGAGGAAATCCAACAATGAGAAAATATGACCGTTAGAGACGCCTTAAACAAAAGCCAGATATAATTCAAAATTTTCCATTAATAATGATTACTATCTAATCCTTTAATTTCAATCCAACAATTGGATTCCTCATTAATATTACCGAATCAGATACCATGTACAAATCTTAACAAATCTTTAAACACACACACACACATCATTTTTGCTAAGTTCTGTGGTCACATATTGTTCAGGTGATAAAGGGAAAGGTTGATTTTTTTTTTCTTCATTAGACTCGTTACGTTGTTGATTGGAGAAGTGGGGTTGTTCATATATAGATGGCAAAAAGGAGTGATGAAGAGATGAGAAGTGAAATGGTAGCAGCAGCTGAAGGAGAGGCAAAAATGGAGATATTTAAGGAGGGTACTGTTGAATCTCATCCTTATGCATTTCATGTTTCGGGGCCTCGAAATGTTTCTTCGCCGAATTGGAGAGATCTTATTAATTCAAGTTGGTTAGCGCTCTCTCTCTCTCTCTCTCTCTGTTCATTTTCTTGATTTGTTTTCAAAGTTGCAAGCTTTAGTCCTTAGCTGATCATATAGAGTGTGATTGCTTCAGTTGGGG